ATAACTATGCAGAGTTGAGTGAATAATAAATATTTAAATATATTTCTTATCAGGAATGTAAAGAAGCAATTATTTCTTTTTGGTTTTATGGGAAAAATTAGAAAAAATCCCCCAAATATTTTTTCCTAAAGGCCGCTCTGTCTGAGAATCCTTTTTGAAAAATGTCTTTCCTTCTGTTACTTTTGTTGGTTACGCAAGATAAAGGTCATTTCATAATGATTCATATCCTGCAGCACATTTAAAGTCAATCTAAGGTTCCTTCAGGAGGACTAAAATGATCATACAACCTGTTCAGTAAACTTTAAAAAGCAAATCTAGATATTTTGATTTTTCTTTCTTTTTTTTTCTTTTTTTTAGAATGCTGAAAATTCCTAATACACTTCTTAATTGTTTTAAAATCTTGATTGACATACAGCAATCAAACTCTTCTTATAATTGCTCATAGTTTTGCATGTTTTCACAGGTATAGTGATGCTCCATCTTTTGCAGCTACTATGTCAAAATGTGACTTTAAATAAATCTGTCAGGGGTATGAATACTTTTGAACTGAACAGCCTAATAAAAAAAATTTACATTTACTTTGGGTTTTTGGTTTTTCATCACAGGAACATATATTGCATTTTATGTTTCTTAAAGGTAAATAAAATTAATTTCGACATGTCAAATGTAATAAAGATTAGCAGTGTGTTTTCCTCCTGTTAGTTCAGGCTAATATCCGTCAGTCTCCTTCACTAACTTCCTCCTAATCCGAATCTTGGAGGACTGATGCTTATCACCAGCAGTCACTGAGTAAATCAGTTATCAGTTCTTGCCTATGCCTTAATGATTTTGGATCTTAAGATGAAAGGAATTGAATCCAGGACCTTTTTGCTGTGATTCAAAATTGCTAACAACTCTGGCAACATTCAGCACCACTGTTCAAACTTGTTAAGTCTTGTTCATCCTCTAGAATTGTAATGACATCTTTTCGTTTCAGACCAAGCTCTCTGTCTGGACCAAGATTATATCCAACTTTTCTCTCTTCTCTGAATGGTTCCTTAAATTAGGATTGGCTTCTTGGCCTCTAGATATCCCAGGAGCTGCAGAAAGAGGTGTACCTCTTCACTCGTCCTTCATTTTCAATGGAGCATAACAGTAAAATGCTCCTAATTTTTAAGGCCAAAGTGAGGTTAACAGAATGCAGATGTGTTCTTTACCACCAGGGAGTTTTAGGCTAGCTTGGTATGACACACATGCTCTCACGTTTTTGCAAATCTTTATCCAAACATCCATGGTTTTGTCTTGCTTTGCAAATCCAGACAAGGAGTTTTTGGAAGCTTTGCTTTCTTTTTTTGGCCTTACATCCATGGAAATGTGCTCTAATGGCCCGCAGCCTCTTTGGATATCTTTCCACACATAGATTTTGATTGGCAGCCCAGGGGCTCAGGCAGTATTACTACAGTTATCTCACTCCGGCACATCCCAAACAGCTCCACCGGAGCTGTCTGTCATGTCGGTTAGTTTGCAACCCACAGACATCAGAACGTAGGGATAAAATTGCAAACCTAGGCTGAGCCGTTTCCACTAAAAAAAACATTAAGAGACACTGTGATATTCATCAAGCCTGAGGAAAAAAAAGTCAAAGGTGACTCCTCAAAGGAAGTTTCTTTGAAACCACTTTAGATTTTTTTTTTTTACCTAAGTAGTCCATTTTGCTGTACTGGCCACCAGTTTGGAGTTATTAAGGCTTGAACACATACATTAAAGGAATAGTACACCCAAAACATGATTAGCCTTCATTTTCTACTCACCCCCATGCTGAACAATGCAGCCCGCACGTTCACGACGCTACGGAAACCGCGGCAGACCAAACCAGATGAAAGTGTGCATTCAGCTCGGCAAAGAACTCATGCTCTTCCTCAACACTGAAGTCCTCAGACATTTTTCTTTCGTTGTTTCTTTCTTTGCTCAGGTAAACAGCACATTTCTTCTTCTACGCTTGCATTATCGGCAGAGCAGACGCTGAATGCGCACTTTCATCTGGTTGGTCTGCCGGCTTCCGTAGCGTCGTGAACGTGCGGGGGCGCACTTTCAGGAAATCCTATACACTACTGTTTATGCTCTAAAAACATTCTAAATGACTTCGTTTCGAGTAAATTCTGGATGCTACCCACTCAGGACACTTGGAATACATTGGACGAGCAGTATGGAGGAATATTAACACGTTTTTTGTGGACTTTTATGGACCTTTCTGTCTCGGGCGCCATAGACCTCCATTATTTGAATGTCAGCAGACAGCAAGAAGCCTCCCAGATCTCCAGATGCATTTGAGTTATCAAAAAAGTACTCCAGAGTGTTGTTCAGCATGGGGGTGAGTAGAAAATGAAGGCTAATCATGTTTTGGGTGTACTATTCCTTTAAGCATTTTTTTTTCTTAAAAAAAAATGTGGTCATGCAGCTGCAAATTGATGCAAGGAGGTACTGAAAAAGTTCAGACTTAAATTCAATAAGTAAAAATCGATTCTTCTGGTTTTTCTGTGGGTATGTCCTGGCCTTCCCTAAAGTGATTCAAATGTATTCAAACTGTGGCAAAATGGAAAATGCCTTGATATCGCATCTTTAAAAGGCTCTAATGAAAGATCATTTCCAAATGAATCCTACTGTTGATGTAAATTCAATACATTAAGGGATGAATTAAAAGGAAAACAGAAAAATTGAAAAAAAAAAAAAAAGTAACACAGCAAACAGTGAAAAACAGGTGATGGTTTGACATAAGCTGCCTTCCCTGCCTCTCCCTCTGAGCCCTCTTCTGCCGCTGCCCCGTCTTCAGCTGCTGCTTCTTCTCAACCTCCCTCTGGCTGTTTCAGTGAGGTAGAACATTCAGGTTCATCTTCTGAACCACTGCCTTAACCCCCCAGCCCCCCCCGCTTTGTTTAGTGGCAGGTTGCCTCTCAGGAGACTCCCTGCTGCCTGAAATATACAAACAAAAACAATGTCTGGTTTTCTGTTACTCAAGTATGAATATATGTTTGTTAAAACACTTTGCATGGGTAAACAAACAAAAAATTAAGTTTTCACACATGCAGACCCAAGAGGAGATGTTAGTTATACCAATCCAACACCCACAGAAACAGGACACAACACAAAGAACCACGTTTATTACTTGCGTCATAATAAATTTTGCCTACTGCGTAAAGGACACTTTTTTTTTAACAAATTAACTATCGAGTCCCATACCAAATATACCAAACATTTATGTGTACACATGTGCACACAAAGGGCTCATGAGGAGCAGCCAAAATGTCCTCCTTTTGTTAACATGTCCTCACTCCAAAGGTTAAAAACGGAAACTGCTCCGCACTCTTCTTTTAAAACAGGAGCATACACTCTCGTCTTGCTACATGCATATATGCGCGCATTATCTCCAGCTTTTTATTTGATTTGCACAAAAAGAAACAGCTTTAGCATTAGATGAGTGGCTGTTCAAAGCAGCATTTACTAACTCATCAAGGACACATTTTTCCATGGACGTTTTGTCTGCAGAGAAATGCCTAGGTTTGGTCCTCAATCGAGTCCACTAATAAAATATTGCTACTTCATTCTAATCTGTCATCATAAAATACTCTCTCCTCATGGTGATCAGCTGTGCCACTACTTTGGCTTTCTATAAGAAGGTTTTTATAATGTTTCCTGGTGAAAATGTACTTCTAACAGCTTTTGTGCACAAGAATGTACAATATGTTAGACCCACCAAAATGATTTGCTTTATTCATCCCTTCACTCCCCAACAGTCAATCTGATGATAATTTAATCAGTTGCAAGTTACATGCATGAGCATCTGCAATGAAATGCCAAGATGGATCTGGTACAAACTACGAAACCAAAAACATATTACGTCAGAACGTTGGGGTCCTCATGACGGTTACAGGGTTATAGTGTGTCATAGGAAAAAAATGTGTTACCAGCAAAGACTCGTTCAGTCCAGGTTGGACTTGTTCCAATATAATTTCTATGATTTTTGTTTCCTAAATACTTAAATGAACCTTGAATGTCCTTGTATTTAAGGGGATATAATGTCAAAAATATAGTGAGAATGCTCTACTTTTTACAAAAATGATGGATTCATAAGTTCAGTTTTAAAGAGTATTATTAGTGCTAAACTATCCATCTAAGCTTAATTCATTCAAAATATTTTAAATTGTGAAATAAAGATTACCAAACACTGTTCAAGCACCAAAGCAGATCATGATTTTAGCATTGATTAAAGCTGGTGGTTTACCAGGTGTAGGTATTTAACAGAGCTCACAGATTTCAGTTTGTTTATTGTTTCATGGCCATCGAATAAACAGTATTTATCTGTTCCACTGTTTGACAGGTGTTCTGTCAAAAAGTGGAACCATTCCTTAAAGAAAATTATACAAGTCTGAAATACTGAAAATATGTTTGACATGAGATTATTTGACATATTTATGAATTTAAAAAAAGACTTTCATAAAGCCATGTCTCACTGGAGGTATCCCTTAAAATTGACACTCCTGGTGATGGGATGACCCTAAGATGTCTCTATATGGCAGTAGTGAGCTTTGAAGATATTTCCTTTCATCTCACCTTCCTCCGTACTTTGTTTGATACCAGGTAAACTTGTGTCTTCTTTCAGCCCGGAAGGATGGTTTCTGCTGCTTTAATTGTTTCTGATGATGGTTCTGAAAATGAATGTGGGCAAATTAACAGCTGGCTCTTTTTTAGAGCAACACATGTTGTCTTGTTTTTCACATTTTAAAAAGAGGTTTGGATAAAATGTTGCATCAGTGGTTACCCCAGGATTACACATCAAACTTAACTTTCAAGCACAGTAAAAAAAAAAAAAAAAAAAAAAAAAATTTATCTTATAGATTTGTTTAAGAGATATGTTCTACCTTTTCAACTTTACCCTAAATGTCCTAAATCTGGGAATGCAAGAACTTTAAAAAGGTACGATTCATTTAAAGTCATAATTATAATCTTTCATGCTTTTCTTTCAGACTCTCATGGGATGGATCTCTTTGCAGTCGCAGTCCATGAGTTCGGTCACGCCATAGGCCTGGTCCATACCTCAGCTATGGAGTCCATCATGAGACCGTACTACCAAGGTCCGGTGGGAGACCCTCTGAAATATGATCTTCCCTACGAGGACAAAGTCCGTGTCTGGCAGCTCTATGGTAATAAGAGGCCTTACATTCCCCCCATGTTTGTGTGTTTGGCTATGTGAGAAAGGAGAGTATTGACTCCTGTGAGGTGAAGTTATTGATTAATGAGAACATGGATGGAGTTAATTGGAACTCTTTATGGTATATGACCTTATCATACCTTTCCCTGCTATGGGAAGAACTGCAACTGAGAGAATAATGATCTTGAAAGGCTTCATGAAAGGTGAGAGAGTGTTGAAGGACAAGGCTGGCAAAAAGGATGATTGCTTTTAAATGAGGGAAATTAAAGATAAACGCAATACAAGACTGGCAGACATTGTTGCTGCAAAAAGATTTTAAAGAGTAAAATAAAAAACATCTGTCTTGTTGTTAGGATTTTATTTACATGCATTGAATCGACTGGACTTTTCTTTATGTTTAACAGCTGTCTCTTCTCTGTCTGGAATACTTATCTGAATGTGCAGGTGTCAGAGATTCGGTGTCCCACACCAATCAACCTGGTAGTCCCTCTCAGACACCTGAGCCTCCCGTCCTTCTTGACCTTCCTGAAAACAGATCCACACTCCTGTGAGTAAGAGAAAACTTCCACACTTTAAGTTAAGCTCAAGAATGGAAGAGAATCAAACATGAGATGATCTACATACATATCTTCAACTTTGACATGTTCCTATTGTTCCCTTTACTCTCCAACGTAGATACACAGATCAATCATTATTTAGCAGCTCTTTTCATGAGTTACAGAAAGGATGTTTTTAAAAAATTCTTAATTTTTTTGTGCTAGATGTACCTTAAACAAACAGTGGGTTAAGGTTATTGTTTGTAGTCATGAAATGTTTCATGTTACAACATCAGCCAAGTATCAGTAGCAGGACAATGATATAAAAAAAACATATATGACTAGTGTGACATAGATTTATAATCACCTTGTAGAGATTCAGAAGACAGAGGTAAAAAGTCGGAGATGGTGAGTAGATGTAAATCTGATCTCAACCAACTCTAAGGTTTAAATAAGCGCATTGACAGAACAATTAGATACAGCTTCTGCTATGATGACTGAAGTAAAGCCTACATGGTTAAATACGGAAGTCTGTTAAAGGTATAGTGTAGGATATTTGGAAATTTTTAAAAAGACCCACCCTCTCCACTTTTGAAAAAAAAAAATGCGCATGCACAACCCTGTACCCTATCCTTAGAAGGAACGCCTATTAAGCAGGTGCAAGAGCATGCATGAGCCCATTCTTCCTTGAGCAATCTCTGTTTAAAAGTTGCTGTTTTCATCACTCATACAAGCTTACTTTCCAAAAGAAATGTTTTTACACTATTGGGACGGGCACGAAGGACGGCCTTCGGTAAACACATCACCAGAATGATTGACAATTAGGAGGACCACTTATATTGATGATCCACTTGGAAAAAGAACATCTTCCACTATACCTTTAATAAAGTTTTATTCTGAAAACAATACATCTAATTAGAGTCAATGTTTTTTAGAACAACATACATATTTTCCTTAAAATTACAAGTTAAGGCTTTTAGATTTATGTCTCTTCACTCTTGTGCTTTTTTATCCTGTGAGAAGCTAAACCAGAACCTCAGCCTGAAGTGTTTTAAGCCATTTTTCATTCACTATCTACCTTATTATGCTAAGCATGATTTTGCCTCTACCAGAGATGTTATATTATATATTATTATATATTATATAGGCTATATTATTTATAGTTTTACTTTTAAATATAAGCCAAAGGTTTGATTTTGAGAGCACAATCTTTCACATTTTTGAAGAGTTCTTATAGCTTTCTTTCATCATTCGATAAAGGCCAAAGCTGACGAATACACCATTAAAACAGTGATCTGTTAAAAGTGGACCTCCAGAGTTACCAAAGTACTCTTATATGATCAACGCTCTCCTTACCCAGCCTGTCACTTTAGGAATAATCAGTGTAGCCACACGTTTTCTATTTTTACAAATAAGCTAAACAGCTTTCCATTTCACAGTTCAGAAATTGTGATTTTATCTCCACAAACTTTATTCCAAACCTGTTCGGTATGTTAGTTGGTTTTGCTTCTACAGCCCTTCTGGGCTGTCGTATTCTATATTACGGCAAGGACAAAGACAAATGTTAAACTTTCTAGACTGTTGTCTGCAAAGAAAAAAAAAAAAAAAACACCACGTTTATGTTCTTCTTTATTTTGTTTAATCACAAACAATCCAATGGAAATCCACTGAGGAGTGTAGTTATAACATGCTAGATGGGGGGAAAGGCTTTTTTCAAATGCTTCTTCAGTTCACAGTAAGAAACTACATTTGGGAACCCCTCTAATGATAGTAAAAGAGTTTAATGATTGACTGAAGCATGTCATTAAACCGTCTGATTCAGATATTCTACATCTCATGAGCTGGAGGAAATATTAGAATACTCGCATATGTCACGCCAATGTGCTCCTATGAACAGCTAATGGGGTATCATTGCTAATTTCACTTTCCAAATTTTGTGACCATCTGGGCATTAACTCATCATTTGGTTTCAGGGCCAAATGATGAGTTAAGTCTTGAGAGGAGGAACGTTCCAGTAAAAATGGTCAGAAATAGCCAGTGAAGCATAAAATGATTGGTGAATATGTATTAGTGGAGATTAAACTACAAGAACAGGACAGATCCCATTAAGAGCCTTTTCTCATAGTTCGGTAGAAAATTTGGCTTAAGCGTTACAGATGGCTGACATAAAAACTTGTGAGGAATCATCAGACGATATCAGTGAGTCGGCCCGATTGTACGCTGTCTTGACTGAACAGAAAAGAGATGAGAAAGATATGGAGCCTTTTAAAGCCTTCTGCTGTTTAACACTTTTTGTATTGTGTTGAATATCATGGTTTTATTTTGCATTCACACATCATGTTATTGTGGCTTTAGGTAACAGGCTGACATAAAGGCTTGCATAGTGGCAAAACAGGAGAAAATAATCACGTTAAAAATTATTATGTGTATTTGTATCCTGTCCCTTTACTGTGATACCACTAAAGAAAAAGTCTAGCGCAGCCTAAGGCCACCTACTTGTGAAAGGGATTTCACTAAAGTAATTTCAATATAACTCCTCTGCTATGACTTCAAATGTTTGTTAAAGAATAATAGCATATAGATGATGAAGGAACACAGCAAAAGAAGATTAAAGCAGACGAGATTATTAAACAATACCACAAGTTTAACCTATCCATTTTTTTTTTCTGACACTCTTAATCCCAAGTGGGATCACAAGGGGTGCTGGTGCCCATCTCCAGCTATCTACGGGCAAGAGGCAGGGTCGCAGTCGCCATCGCAGGGCAACACAGAGACAAACAGGAAAAACAATCATTCACGCACACACTCACATCTAAGGAGAATTTAGAAAATCCAATTAACCTAACAGTCATGTTTTTTGGGGCTGTGGGAGGAAGCCGGAGTACCCGGAGAGAAGCCACACATGCTCAGGGAGAACATGCAAACTCCATGCAGAAAGACCCCGGGCCAGGAATCGAATCCGCGACCTTCTTGCTGCAAGGCAGCAGTGCTACCCACTGCGCCACTGAGCAGCAACAAGCTTTTATCGTTTAATACCTTCATCATTCAGTCTGTCGTTTGAAAACGTGTCTTCAAAATTACCAGCGTGGTTGTGGTTGCATCGTGACTTGAAGAGGCTTTTTTCAATAGAGGAAAAGGTAGAGTTGATGTGTAATATTATATTACTCTTATAAATTGTACTTTTAGCAGCTTTTTTAAGTAGCACTTCTCTTACTTTAATATAATTTTCCTCTACCCAACACCACTTATCTCACTAAATAACAAAGAAGCTTGTTTTTAGCTAAAAGGCATCATAACAGAAGTACACTGACAGTTTATGTACAGCGAGTCATCTTGCTCCAAACATTAGCTGAACCCGTTGTACTATTTAAAGGTCAAGAGAATATATTGTAAACTGTATATATTTTTTAGTATTTAACACCTGATTTTGTCAATAATTTGGTACTGAATGTGTTTCTTTTGTCATCATTTGCTATTTTATTATCTAATTATATGTTTTTACTGCATTTCAAAATACTTTATAACATCTGTCTCATTAAATCGTTTTCACAAATTGAACCATATGCTATGATCAGTGTTTCTCAGTGCTTGAGTAGCCATTTTTCTAACTACTATTTTTCTTTTACTTGAGTAGTTTTTCGGATCACTGTGTTTACTTCATAGTAAATAAGAATATGTTAAAGTAGTGTTACTTGAGTAAAACTTTTTGGCAGGTAAAGAAAGCCTGTTTAAGGTTACAATATACTTAGTCCATCTTTCAATTGGACAATAACCATAAGTATACATGCAAATTTACTATAGAGGGATTTAGATTAAATCATATCTAGGAGTAAAAATTTCCCTGTCAAAATCCAGAGCAATATTAACTAAGAATTTGTAGCAGGACTTAAAAAAATTGCAGACACTCTACAACCAGTATGTCTGAGCTGCTTAATTGCATTGGATTAAACATCTTATTAATAAGGATGAGAAGAAAAAAAACAAGGAAAGTTCCTATATTATTTTCAACATTACATTATATATTACTTTGTGTCTGTCTGTTACACAAAGTCCACCTAAGATTTCATCAAAGCTTGGGACTATAATCTGATTAAATCTGAAAAAGTTTACGGTATGCGGTTGCCCTAGCAACGCATTGTACCATACAGCAAAGCACTCTACAAGCATATTTGTCTCAAGCATCAATGTGTTTCTGGTGGTATAGCAAAACCTCCCCCAAAAAGCAGAAAGTATCTTATGTCTTATCTTTTTGAAGGCCGTTTCCAACTAATAAAATGCAAAGCCTTGTGTTTATGCATTACCATGAGACTGCATTATGCTGCGTGCAGACTTCAAATTTGGTAGCTCCTAAAAATCATTCAAATGCAAATACTGTTAAATATATGCTGGTTAACACGCTTAACATTCCCATCACTGACTAACAGCGTTACTCTCCTTGGAATAACCTTGTTTACTGCTGTTGACATAAAGCACATTTATAATCCGGGTAAACAATACATTAACCTTCATTATATCATAATGCTGAACAAATGAAAAATAATGAATCCAGTCCAGATATTCTTAAATACACTTTTATTCTTTACTCATCCTGTCAGAAGAACCTAGAACAGGCATGGTTATGAATATCAAATCTTCTTTATGGTATATAAGTAAATGTGCACTGGAATACCCCTCACTCTGTAAATGTGAAATATTTCAGATCATGGTTTAATATTGAAACAGAAACATCAAAAGGTTAGGCCTTCCTGTAAGCTCGAACAGTGTTTCACATCTTGAATCGGTTTTACAGCTTAAAGAGGCGAAAGGATTAGCATACTGGACTCCAGAAGGACCAGATTTGTTGCAAGTCCGGAGTCTTATCCAGCTTGAGGACAAGAGTTGAAATAAAGTTGAAACCTACACCTGTGAAAAAGAAGCAGATACATCTTAGATGGATGCAGCCCTTTCCTGGGAGAGACGCTATGAAAACTATGAACTGAGATATCTCAGAAAGGTCATTAAAGGAGTTTTCAGGGGCTAGCTTCAAATATGTACAAGAAAATCATAGGTTTGGGTTAGAAGTATATGACTTTTACTCAGATAGTCTTTTTTTCTTTCTAACTCCCTCATTCTTCACTTCTCACTTTCTCTACTTCACTCTTTACTTCTCTTTTTATTTCTAATTTTTACACCTTTTCTTCAACTGAGCATTCCCTCTCTTTTTCTCTCTACTTCACTGTGTCATCATCTGCCTTCTTTGTTCAGTCTTCCATCCACTCCAACACATAGTCATCCACTCTCCTATCAGCATCTGTTTCATTCCCTTCCTCTCCTTCAATATTTCAATTGTCTCCTTCCTTCAGTCTTTCTGCCTTCCTCTAATCCTATTTTCTTCTTTCAGTAATCATCTTCTCTTTTTACTCTCTTCTCCTCTTTCCATTTTCTTCTGGTTCATTTTTTTTCTTTTTACTCCATTCTTCTTTCTCATTTCTTCTAACCTTTGATAACTTTGTATTTGTCCCCTTTTTCTCATTTATTCATTCATCCCATTTTCACTCTCCTTCCTTCCTGCCTCCCTTCCCTCCTTCCTTCTCTCCTTTTTATCCTCTCCCACCTTTAATTCAATTCAATCGGTTCATTTATTTATATAGCGCCAATTCGCAACACATGTCATGTCAAGACACTTTACAGAGGCAATACAGTCAGATTAGTTCAGCATCCAGCCATAGACTTGCAAGATTTGTTCCTCCTGGATGGGCTTACAGCCACGATTTGACTTGCATTTTGTCATTGACTCTACAGCAATCCCTCACATTTTCCTTAATCCTCTCCTTCACTTACTCATGAATGCAGCTTCCATTATTTGCATGTAGGAAAATTAGACAAAAATTTTACATTGGAAATAGCTCTGTGATTCATCATCCCAATGATGAATCACAGTGGTGGCAGCATCAATCTGTGGGGATGGTTACCAAAGGGACTTCAAGAAAGTAGATCAGAGTTGATCAGAAGATGAATGGGACTACAGCAGACCAGTCCAGTATGATTCATTCTCTGGCCTTTTCTGCTGTTTAACTTTTATCCTTTTTATTCTTTTCTTGTATATTTCTTTCTTCTTAAGCCTTCTTACTCTTTATTATTTGAAACTATAATGTCAGCATCTGCTCTCCTCTAGAAGAGTAAGCTAATTACTCATTCAGTCCAGCACTGTAGTTTTTGTTAATTAATGAACCATCAGTGGGCAAGTTCTTGGTTGTTAAATGACATTTTGTGATCCATTATAAATTTGCGCTGTTAAGACACATATTTAAACGTGCTTGGCCTTTTTTTAATTAATGGTTTAAAACAGTACAGGCTCCTCAGAGAATATTCATACTATGCACTGAAATGCACTGATAAAATACCCAACACATTTAATCAAAGACTTTGCAACTTAATAAAAGGGGACAGGGGATACAGCTCAGACATCTTTTTTCAATCGACATTTGTTTTATACGTGTGGAGAAGTTAGAACTCAGAAAGGTAATGAATAATAAGAATCACTGTCTTGATAATTCAAACAGAGAGGCAGGAGTGGTTGGTGATGGCTTCATCTTTAGTAGACTGCATTAGTGTTCTGAATCGCTTACTAATGAAAGATTACGTTGCAGCATATTACCTCATATATGAAGTTGTTTACTCAAATAAGTCCAGCACTGTGTAAATCCTGTCACAGCACTGCTTATCTGTCTTGCTTTTCTTTGAAGATTCACTTCTTTAAGTAAATAACCTTCTATTTCTGCACTCCTCACACTGTAAAATATGTAGTTTATTCTGAAACTAAGCCAGACTATCTAGAATTACCATGTGGCATGTTGATCACATTTTGTAGATGCAAAATACTGTGCTTTAAACATGCACCTCAATTGCAACACAAATGTTGCAGCATTGACCCAATAATTACAATTTGCAGCACTCTCTGTGGCGAACACTTGAAGCGGCTAAAACACAAGGGGAGGTCCCATGATTTTCTCCATAATTCAGATATAATTAACGACACTCGCAATTCAAAGAGCTCACACTGTGTGCATTGAACATAATATTTCCAGCCAAAGACATTCAACTGATGATTAACTGTAGAAGAAAATGCTTACATATCTGCAAAAAGTACCTTACTACAGTACATTCCTTTTGTGGTCACACACTGTACATTTTATAGCTTTTATCCTACGGGCATACATGGACTACATGAAAGAAGGACAAATGTGTGTTTGTAACAGAATCATACTTTATACATTCACCTACAGTGTTGTCTATGTTCTTCCTGGATTTGTTTTGCTTTATTGTTTTGTCATTAGTGTTGCCATTAATTTTGTTTGTTTTTTTAAGCCTTGGTCAATTTACTGTTTTTTAAAATCTTTTCCCCTATTTCTTACCAAAGAATTGTCATTTTTTCCCAAACCTTCTTCTATTTCACACCCATGTACTTTGCTGTTTTATACCAGAATTGATTTTTCTCGTTAGTTACATTTCTAAAGGAAATGCATAATCATAAAATCCTTAAATCTTACATAAAAGTAAACATGTTTGTAAATAACTAAGCACTTTGTATTGCACCCTATTTCCATTGATCGTGGTATTGATCACCACTTCTATTTAAGAAAATAAAGCAGATTATAAAATCTGTTTAACCTTAGTGAGTGTGAATGATCTCCTACTGGTGAATAAATATTATTTACTAGAGTCACATTTGCTAGATTTCATTAAAAAAGGCTTTATGCAGATTAAATAAAATTACCTCTAATCATCCGTTGTCAAATTGAGTATTAACTGTCCCCAGAGCAAATACAAATACATTTTAGGTGTTCATGTCAAACAGGTTTGTTTTATGGCTTAAAAAGCCAGATATGAAAATAAAAAAAAAATGAAAAAGTCTGACATGGAAAGGGACCAAATTGACCAGCTCCAACAATATTACATCTATTTTTTTTTTTCTTTCATTTGTGCTCCTCCGTTTTTGTTCTGTCCTTTTGTTTACCTAATATCTCATTTCCTCCGTCTTTCTTAGACTGGCACAAGATGCCCCAGACAGGTGCACCAGTCACTTTGATGCTGTGGCCCAAATAAGAGGAGAGGCTTTCTTCTTTAAAGGTAATCAACGTTTGGTAAGGGGTGGGTGAGCTGTGTTTTTGAAATTCTTATCTACCTATTTATCAGAGATGTAAATGATGTTAAATATATTAACTAATGGAAAATGAATGATGTTATACGTGAATAGATTAGTGTTATTGCTAACAGTTTTGTAAAGATTATCAACCAGGGTTCAAACGTGATATATTTCATATATGCTGCAATAAATGTTGAAGTATAATAATCAAAAAGTCCGTTGCTCTGATATCAACAGAGAAGAAAACATGTGTCAGGATTAAGCTTCCAATATTGCATGCAATGGAGGGATGCTATGATGTGTTTAATAAATCATAAATATAAAACTGAAATGATGAAGAAGAGGACAGCTGTGTTAATGAGAAGCACAGTTTATTGTTTTATTTCCCTGAACAGATTTTCATATTTTCCATGTTGCAAGGTGATGCATGCAAACAAATGCATATTTATCTTAGGTGCTTCTAAAACCGAAGACATGAAAGAAATCCTGATAGAAAAGGTCCAAAGACTAATCCCTATGAGTCACCCAGAGTTGGATTATATTACAATTGGCCTGCCAGGGCAAGTGATGAGACTCTGATAACTTTGGTAGAGTTGAAACACAGGAAAGCAAAAGCTTTTTTTTTGTAAAATACATTCTTATTCAAAGTGTGGGTGGTGCGCCTTCCATTCCCACTGGTAGATCGCAAAGAATAAGCAATCCACAGGTTTTAGTTGGTGAAGTATGATGTTATTCATGCAGAAAGCAAAGGGTGATAGTTTCTGTGAGAAGGGTAAAGCTTTTAATTATAAAGACTGGAAAAAGACTAACAGAGATGCTGAGTCATTATGCTGGCAGAAAGAGAGCCATATGACCAGCAGGGCTGATTGGATCAGGCTTGCAGGTGAGGCCAATCACTCACTCCAGGATGGCGTGTGAAAATTAGGCAGAAAGGGGAGAAGAGGGAGAGTAAATTCCCCTGCCAGGGGAGCTAGTAGCTGGCAGGTTCAACTGTACACCTTCTCCAACAAATGCTTTTTGGCACCACGTACCAGGGTTACAGCAATAAAAATCACTAAGGGAAGGTTCTCTTTTGGGATAGACCATCACTCTTCTGGGCCATAAGCTTTTCAGTTGACCAAGTATTCAAGGCTGTGGTTAGGAGCTCCACTGACTGCTTGATGAGAAAGACAAACTACTGGTGACTGATAGAGGCAGCTTTGAACCGAATTACATTTAAGAAGGGGTAATGGTAAAGGGGTTGTAAGTAAGGAGTCAATTTCTTTTTTGGTGAAAGTATTTGTATTCCTTTAACTTTTCCACCTGTTGGGGTGTTGTAAAATACATAGAGTAAATGGAGATTGCCATTTCTGCCTTTTGTTCTGAAGATCAGTGAGGGTAGATGGAGAGACTCAACAGCAACTTTTAAAGTCTTGCTACAGATTCTTAGTTAGATTTTAGTTGGAAATGTGACCATTTTATTGTTACTTTTGCTTCATGTTTGATATTCTGGAGGAACATCTTGCAGGCCAGGTTCTAATTCCTGATTGGTCCTCATGTTTGAGAAAGTGAGGCTAAGGTTTTGATCTTACATGCTCATGAAAAGAAAACAAAAATAAGTCTTTCTCATACAGGAACCACTGCTTCACTGAGTTGAATGTACTAGAACCGCTTAAACAGTTGACATTAACTCCTGTCAATGCAGCATTAATAGGAAGATTAAATTTTTTGTTATGTTGCTCCTTATTTAGTTGTTTTATATAGTTGTCTTTATACAAAACACACGACAGAGGATACACAAACAGTCATGTCAGGATTATTTATTTCACCATCCCCCATGTTAAAGGCTTATGTCTCAGCAAATGTCAGTAATTACCCAAGCCACCTTTTACCATCAAGCCTACAGCTATACCTCCAGCTAGTGTTGGGTTTAGTCAATCTTTTGAATGCACTTTAATTCTGATATGTGTTAAATCAAATTTATCATATTTCTTTCCCTTAAACCAATTAATTCTGTGCAACATTTTCCTCATTCAGTATTCATCCTATAAGTTCGTCATCTAACACTAAAAGAAAAAAAGCAGGAAATCATAATGAATTATTAGCCTCATTAACCTGACTTATTCGGTTTTATTATATTTATATTTGTTTTCCTGCTGAGGACTCAGTCATACTGTACCTTATGACAAAATATTAAGCATTAAAACATGGGAGATTTTCTTTAAAGTATATATGTTAGTTCAGATTATGTATATTTATATTCTGATTCTTCGTGCTTTTATTTTTTGTAGACAATTTGTCTTGATTAGGTAGCACCACAAACTGATCAAGGGGAATGTAATCTGAATTGCTTCTCCTTATAAAACACTCTCAGATGTTGTAATTGGCCTGTTTTCCATCACGATGAAAGAAAGTCACATCCATCTGGGTTGAGAGAATCCTGTCGGGTGTTTTGCAATTTAGAGAAAATATTGGTTTGTCTGCTTGTCTAAGATGTTTGGAGAGGTTAAGGGTGTAACTCTTGGAGCTTTAGATGGATTGTACCTGAAGGAAACAAATGGTCATAGTAGGAGAAGTCAAAAAGAACAGCATGGAGAAGATAAAAAGTAAAAGTCTAAAGGGAAGATAATGGAAATGACAAAGTGCCACCCTGAGGGTGAGTGCAAGGGAAAGCAGCAAACACTGATACAGTGTTGTGAATCATTGTATATGAGAACCTAATTTGTAAACAAAAGGGAAGTAGAGTTTGGAAACACCCACATGGATGGCAGGATAGCTGCCTTAAACGAACAAAGTGCTTTATAAGAATCTTGTCTTATCTTAAAAATAATATTAAATGAACACTACCTGTTAAACCTAAAAGGGTTGCACAGTGGTGCAGTGGGTAGCACTACTGCCTTGCAGCAAGAAGGTCCTCTCCGGGTACTCTGGCTTCCTCCCACAGTTCAAAAACATGACTGTTAGGCTAATTGGCTTCTCTAAATTCTCCTTAAGTTTGAGTGTGTGTGTGGATGGTTGTTTGTCCTGTTTGTCTCTGTGTTGCTCTGCGATGGAGTGGCGACCTGTTCAGGGTGTACCCCGCCTCTCGTCCGTTGCCAGCTGCAGATAGGCTCAGCACCCCTCGGAAGCCCAGCAGGGATAAGCATGATAGAAAATGGATAGATGGATGTTAAGCCTTAAAATTATGATTCAAAATAACTATGCTCTTTCAACACGCCTTCAAATGTTTTTTCTTCTTTTTCTTTATTTAATGATTAGATGAAAGCAATGGAAAGAATATTTAGCTTACATTCCGGACAACATCTTAACCCGTTCACTTAAAACAGTTTTTTTCAAATAACTTACACTTCTGTTTAAAGTTCTGACCCAGCCTCTTCTGGTTCCTGTAGGAAAGTATTTTTGGAGGCTAACAAGAGAGAAGCACCTTGTGTCTCTCCGCCCTGCTCACATCCATCGCTTCTGGAGGGGACTTCCTCCTAATATGGATAGTGTGGACGCTGTTTATGAGAGGCCAGGGGACCACAAAATAGTATTTTTCAAAGGTAAATACTTATCCTGAATTCATAAATCTGACTGCCTTTGGTTTCACAGTCTTTCAAAGACGATGAAAATGAATGTGTGTTTTAATTATTTAATTGTAATCTTTTCGCTGAACCATTAGGTCAGAAGTACTGGGTATTTAAAGACAACAATGTTGAAGAGGGTTACCCCCGTCCCATTAGTGACTTTGGCCTGCCTGTGGAAGCCGTGGATGCAGCATTTGTTTGGTTACACAATGACAAAACCTACTTCTTCAAAGATAACCACTACTGGCGATATGATGACCACTTGCGACACATGGACCTCGGCTACCCCAAAGACAGCACGCTTTGGAAGGGGTTGCCGCTCCAGCTGGATGATGCCATGAGGTGGTCTGATGGTAAGCAGCCAGAAAAGATGAATGCTTCATTATTTTTCACTGAAAATTTACTTCAAAGTTTTGCATACATGGTGAAGATTCTCAGTCATCCCAGGTCATGGTCATTCCAAAAAAGTAAAAAAAAAAAAAAGAACGATCCACTGGACTTGGTTTCTAAGTTTGAAGAGGATTTGTTTCCCATCCAGGAAGCTTTTTCAATTAAAAATGTTAGTTTATTAACAGATAACGTTTTGCCTATTTTCAAGTGTTAACTGCTGAAAATATAATTACTTGCCTCTAACAAAAAAAAAAAAACTTTAAATAATTTAAGATTATAACGTTAGCACCTGACCGCTAAAAACATGAACTAGTGGCCTTCATTTAAAAGGAAGCTGACAGGAGATGAGGTTGAGAGAAAGAGGGGAAGGCATGCAGCAAATGTCAACAGGCTGAGATTTGACACTGTGACAGCCGCTTGGTGGACTAAGGCCTCCCTACATGGGCCTTGCCCTTTACCTCTGAGCCACCACTGCATCCAAGGAAAACATTTTTAATCCGCTATTCATCATCATTTCTGAAAAAGTATGACAGCGCGTTATTTGCATGAATTAAAAAGTTTAACCCACCCTTCAAATATAGGGATATTTCTGGCACAAAGTTTGGTGTCATAATAGTCAAAGGTTAAGCCTTTATCTTGCATTTTTTTTATTTTTTGCTAAATCATCAGTGTAAGGACATTCCCAGCATGTAAATCATGATTAAGGACCTTATTTGGCCTGTGTGTTCTCTGCTGTTTGCATTGTTCAGATTTAGACCAAAACATTTCCTTTGTGCTCTTGTCTCGTTCTTTCCTCTGATAAGCTTATTGAAATGCATATGAATACCTACAGCAGAGAGGTTTATATTCTATTTTTTCATCTTTTTTTTCTGCTCCAGTTTCAATCAGAGTCACTTCTATGTTGGCATTTATAGAAATTGATCCCAGGTAAACTGCTTCAGAGAATGTATTTGCCCGCTTACAGATTCCTATGGTTTTTGCTTTTTGTCACACTTTCTTGTTTCAGATAATCAAACAAATCTTAATAATGGGCACAGATAACCTGAGGAAATAATAACAAGCATAACAATATACAGTTTTTAAATAATTTTAAATAATTGCTACAAATAAGTTAAATAATATATTGATTTGAAATAGTTATTCAAATCAACCTGGTCTACGAATTATACTGATCTTTTTTCTACAGGTTTGAATTTAGTTGGAAATGAGTGGAGCTTATGAAATGTAATAAAAGAAAAAGGTTAATCATGTTTAATTCATAATTTAACATTTCAAACAGACCAAGGTCGAGCTGTCTAGCTTGTTTTATCAGTAAAATTCTCATTTAGAGCATGCTTAAAAATTACCTGTGTCAGGAAAAGTGAAGAATAAAAGCAGAAAATAGGAAACTTAAAATAACAAAAATGCTTTTCGGGTGAGTTGTAGAGTGTCCTGATAATTAAACAAGTTTTACCTAGTTTTTTGCAGTGAGTTAAAATCTTAACCTTTGCTCACTCTTTACTAAAGTAGGAACTAATCAAGATTCACATTTTTATCCAGAGATTTGTTTAAAGATCTCAGTTTGGCTCTGAAAGAACCTTGTGAAAACCGATGCAGAAATTAAAAGTACATTTAACAAGTAGTCTGAAACAGCACAATTTACTACAAATCAGGTTTTTAAATGTGGTAGAGATATTGGCTCCAGTTGCTGGCAGATCTGTTCTTTAACAATGAACCCAAACCAAGTTGCTTCCTGAACATTTTGGACTTTAAAAAAAAGCCTGTTAAATGTTTGCTAATAACCATAATTGCTCTGTATTATAGAACCTATTGTTGCATTTTTCCACAAACAGCAGTTAGTGTACAAGAAGATGAATTGACTAAATGCACCACAGCCGAAGCAATAAAACATGCTGTGGTCTTGGAAAATAAAATCTCTTGTCTTTAAAGCCTCTGAAACTAGCTGCTCAAGTTTGAAAATGGAAAAGTTCTGTTTGGGTTTTTTTCCAATTACACTTGGTCAGAGTATTACAAAAGGTTCATAGGGGAGGAATCTCAGATTGCTAACAAGACCTTTGGCCTTTTATTATAAACGCAGTAAAAATCTCTTTCAGGTGTCATGAATCCACAAGGTAGCAGTGTGAGCTCAGTGGTCTCACAGGGAGCACAGATGTTAAAAAAAGATCTAAAATGAGGTGACCGGTTTAATCAAAGCAGCGAGAGAGACCACATTCCTTCAGCCTTAACCCCAGCACAAAGTGGAGACCGTCATGATCTTCTCATCCAGATCTGTCTGCCGTTGCTACGACAGGAGAGCAGTAAAGCTTGCTTCAGTCTGTCACCACAGCAAGACAGAAGGCTTTAAAAGTAATGGCTGATTTTACTTGGTGGCTGCCTACTTTGTTTCAGCTCTTCAGCCCTCCGACTCTTGAGTAGACCCTTTAATCACAATCACAGCTTCCACCCACACGGGCAAACAGCAAAACAAACACTCTTATGCTACATTGTGCTGATCAGGCTGCTATGGAAATCAGAGGTTTTGGTATTTATTTATTTATTTTTTTTACATTTTTATCTGCCACTTCAGGTTTTTATAAATCGTAATTGAAGCTTTGCTATCAAATTTTGACCTTTTAACTTCAGCCCTTATTTTTACAATTGCCTGTCATTATAAATGCATGCTGTGTTGTTTATTCTGGCTGGAAATGCAATAACTACTGTGATGGTAGCCTATTTTTTTGTATTTATGAATCAGTTAACTATTTAGTGTAATTTTTGCTTGGGTTCTAAACTTTTATAACTACTTGTATGTAAAAAAAAAAAAGAAAAAATAACTTTTTTACAACTCTTATCTGGGCAGTAAGCCACAGTAAAAGCAAATAGTAAAAAAATAAGTTAGAGGGATACATTTTAATACGGAAAGATAAAAACAAAGTAACAAAACAAATTGAATAGCACATTTATTTATGTATTTATTAAGAAGCAGGTGCACTGATCAGAGACTATTATTTGCCATCAGTTATTTAATATAACCCCTGGGATCAAAGCATGAAACTTTTTTGTTTTTTGCAACTAATTTTTTCATATAAACTGAAAAGATAAAGGTGCATTGTAATACATTTATTGGAGCATACATTTTAGCTGTTTTTAGATTTTTTTTTAATGATATGCAAAGGTAGTTTTGCCAGTGATTATCTTGTAAAGAAACTGGTTCTAATGCAGCAGTTTGGGAGGATACTGTAGATTGATTGCCAGAGTTGACTGCTGAGTGCTGAAAGGGGCACCTGTGACAAAATGGATTTCAGTGTGATAGATGACAACTAGTTTATGGATGGAGACGGTTTTGGAGGCATTCCTGTAGATAATGTCACAATAATCTTGAGCAGAAAGGATTGGCATTTGACCAGGGGTGTGCTTTTCTGAATGGGTGAAGGATGATGAGCTACGGTACAGGAAATTAACTGTCAGTACTAGTTTTAATGAGCCAAGACTTATTTCGTAGTTAATAAGATATATTGTCATACTTTTTTATATTCCTTTCAGAGCCCAAACCTTTACTGAAAATTGAATAATATAAGATGAGTGTTTCAGCAACATTTTTTCTTTAATGACCTTTCCGAGCTCTTGTCACTCCTGGTAGAAAATTAACATCATTATTACAATAGGTATAAATTCATTATCATGCAAAAAGGTAGAGACAGACTTTAAGTATTTGTCAGTATTCCACTTCCTTAGAGAGCAAAAAATCAAAAGCGATGGTTTAAAATAAATGGAACAAATTCACTCCTTTTTTTGCAGTGCTGATTCCCCCATTGATTAATCCCTGAAGAAGAAACATGTCATATTTGACAGGAGGTTTGGCTCCAGCAGTCAGAGCAAAGAAAAAGACCTGCAGAGAGAAGAAAGCTTGAGATGATGAAGAGAAATCTGCTCCTATGCTAGTATTTAGGGGGATTATTAGATGCCATGGATTTGAAAAGTCAAATGAAAAGTTAAATTAAATATACATCAGGTAATATAATGTGAAATAAGGGGTTGGCAGCAGTTAAATAGCCTAACTCCTGTGTAGGGTATTTTGATCAAGCTCTTTTTCTATATTAATTTGTATGGTACACACTCTATTTATAACTGTATTTTTGAATAGGTGGCTGTTGTTGGGACTTGAAGGCCCTCCATGTGCTGTTGAATCAGTATAGCACTGAATCTGCTTAAAGCAATGCCCAACAGTAATTATGTAAAGCAGGGATGGGTAACTCCAGTCCTCCAGGACCAATGTCCTGTAAACTGCTAGAGGTGTTCTTGGTCCAGCACACCTGAATCAATATGCATCCTCCATATGCAGGATTACCAGGATTCTGAAGAGTCTTGGTAATTATTTGGTTCAGGGACACATCTAAAAGTGTCAGGACACCAAGTAGCCCATCCTTGCCGTGACGCATTGAAGGTGTAAATGTTCAGTATAGCTCTGTGAGACGGTATTTATCCCATGCAGACTTCTTTTTTTTTTTGTCTTTTGACACAGTTATCCAGAAGTTCAATTTTGGAATAAAATAATCTAAAGAAAAGCAGAAAGTAGGTTTTTAGGAGTTTTTGATTTATCAGGGAGAAACTAACATCCAAAGTAACCTGGCTATATGTGTCATGATTGGCTAATGGACTTAACCCACATGGAGAACACCAAACTGGAGACAGAGGAAAATTTAACAATGTTTATTAAGGACAACACACAGAGTTAAGGAGGACTGGTTCTGGTGCAGGTCCGGGACTGGTTTCACTGATATCTGAAGAGATGAGAGTTTGGTTAGCCAGGCGGTTAGATGGATTGACGAGTGAGTAGAATTCTGATTGTACCTTGAAAAGGTTCTGACAGATCCTTGAGAGAGGGGAACCGGTTGGGTCCAGAGACTGTGGAAGTAGCAGAGAACTCGGCAGCAGGAGCTTCTAGCTTCTGGCTAGAGAGTCTCAGACTTGGGTTTAGTTTCCT